CAGAACAAAGACAGGGTCTCCCACCCATCCATGCAGATCCTCTGTCAGAGTTAGCTAATAAGGACTACAATACCCAGCTGACAGCCTCAAACCAACCAGGGACCTGGAATTAAGGGTCATTATTTCTCATCATTATCGACTTTGGCCACTCTGAAGAGCAGAGTCTATTATTTTTTATCACAGTAGTTTGTTATTGGAGCTTGAAATGAGAAGTTTTTTCTAAAATTAAATGGAAGTGTATTAATGCAAGGAATAAAAAACATGTTATAGCTTTTCACGCCTCCGTCCATTTCACCGTCCACCACTGACACGCTCTGTGCATGTGAAGTAAATTAAACAGTTTTGAAGTTGTTTTGTGACTGTGTTGTTGGAATTTAATATGGCATCAGAGTAGGGAGAAAGTTTGAGGGCAGTAAACTGAGACAGATGGAGAGAAATGGAGTACAGCATGTGATGGGATGATAAAACAGCCGAGCGTAGAGGAGAGATAAAAGGAGGGCGAGAGAAAGGAAGGTGGTGGTGATGGAGGACGGCGGGCGCAGCGGCAAGGGTGCGAGGCGAAGTGAAAGTGAGTTTGTCTGTGATGTTTTAAAATTCTGGAGTGGAAAGTCCCTCCATCTGTTATTGTGGGACGGTTCTGACTCAGTGATTTCTATGATTGGCCTTAATCCCGGCCGAGTGGAGAAGACAGAATGAAGAGCTTAAAGCAGACTGCTCTCACTCTGACAGGCTCCACTGGCTGCTGCTGCTGCTGCTGCTGGGCTCAGTGGCTGGCTCTGTCTGCTGCCCCCTAATGGACCAGCCGCTGCATGACACTGCACCGCTCTGCACTACAACATCACACTGAGCAGCTCACAAGGCCGTGACACAGAAGAAGTGACATTTTGATTTACCTTACATTTGTAAGCAGTCATGAAAAACAGTAGATTTCCCTTATTTTTTTTCATTTTCCTTGCAATGTGTGTGATGATTATGACTTATGTCTTCATAATTGGGCTGCAATCTGCCATTTTCTTTTTTTTTATTAATCGATTTAACCGTTTAAATGAAAATGTCAAAAAGAAATGTCCCTGTTTCTCAAAGTCAAGTCTTATCGTCAGTCAAAACCACAAGGGTATTTTGTATAATATAAAACCGAAAAAAAAGCAGGAAAGCTATCTTTCTTTTCTACCGCTTTTCTTTCTATCTTTCTACAAAATGACTTAATTGATTGATTTCTGATTATCATAAAATAAATCACTACGGGGAGTGGACTAATCGTTGCGTCCCTTACCATAAAAGCAAACCTTCCCAGAGTATCATGTCTTTCAATGTCTTTAGGTTTGCATAACATTGCTGATGCTTCCTCCTGATACTTCATGCGTCAGTAAATACATTGAAGATGTAGCTTGTGGTGATGCTGCGTCTGGATTTTTAATTCAACAATGTGGGAAGGACCCTTAAGAAAGCTGTTCTATATTTAGACATCTTTTTTCAGAGAGCTTAGTGGCTTACCATTATGATTGTCACTGTCCACAGCAGCCAATCATTGTAAAATGTACTAAGGGTCTTCCCTCGCTGCGTTAGTTTCTCTTTGGAGGTTAAGTGACCTTAGCAGAGTCATTTCACAGTCTTTTGGTCCCCAAGGTGACTTGAGCGTTACCAGAAGCCGAGCTGAGGGGGTCATCTGGAACATGTTGAGTACTTTGATTCAAAGCGGCAATCACATGTACAGAGCGTGTCGTGTTTTCTCAAGTGCCCTCCCACTCAAACACACACATTGTAGGGCTGTTTTGGAGAGTCTCTCTGGATCACACAGACAACAGTGTTGTGTGTCGAGTGCCCTTTAAGGTAATGCTCAGTGGAAGGGCCTTACAGGCTGCAGCAATCACACAGGAGGCCCGGTGAAGAGTCGGTACTCGCCACAGCATGACGCTGTCCGTCCCTGGTGTGCAGTCATTCCCCTTGAAATAACATGACTTCAAATGATTAAAGGACTCCTTATTGGACAGAGCAAACAGAACAGTTATGAATATTAATGATCCTAATCGCTGCATGCTGAACCTTTTCATTTGTTTGACTTTTTCCTTGTTCAGTGAGTTCACAGTCAAAGAGCACAGCTTTTAGAGACATCACAGAGCGGCTCAGCCTGCAGTTTGACTGTTTGTTCAATCACACCATCACCTGCACCATTATGCATGCATGTTTGCATACACTGCAATCCATTGTGTGTTGTTTAAGGCTTGTGGAGTCACTTCACATGCCACTATCCATTACAGAGTTGTGTTTATGGTACTTGACCTTGCCTCAAGGCTCCATGACAAATGGCCATGCATGTGATGCATTTCTTGTCAAGGTTACAATGGCAATAACATAAGAGGGTTGTGCGCATGTTGTCAACTCTTGTGGTGTCTTTGTGCCTGTGTGCTGTAGTGTTATTTGCTGTGTTGTGTGGGCCTGTACTGAGCTTATCTGTGCTGTACTGTGCTGATCTCACTATGCTCATCCAGTGCTCTAAGCTGCTTGGGCTCCAGCCACCAGCATAGATGATATATCCCTGCCCCCCTCCTTCCCACATCTCTCACTCTGATTCATTGGCTGTTTGTGTTGCCCATCCATCTGGGCCAACACAGAGGAAGGAAAGACACATGAAGACACATGGCTGTTTTGGAGCAGGGGGGACTGCATTAAGCTGCTAGGGATGAGATAGCGTCCTAGAGAAATGGAAGAGGGGGAGAGGGAGGACAAATTCCAAGGGAGAGGCAGCTGGAGAACTGAAAAAAAGCTGCGTGGGCTACTCAGGGGGAGAGAAATGGATTTTCTAAAGGGACAAAGTAGAGATTCTTACTGAAAGATTAAAAAAAAAAAAAGACTGAGCCAAGGGGATGAAAGGGTTTGCCAGATCAAAGATCATGACAGAGAGTTAAGTTATAAAACACTGCAAACAATAGCAAATTATTTTCATATTAATAAAGAAAACATTCATGCAACTGTTGTGACAAGGAGTCAAATTATATGGCTTTCATTTTCAGGCTAATCTCCGATTTGGAAATGCAGTGAGATTATTGTTCTGCTGCTCAGTGTTTATCCCTAATTGAATTTCTTTTTTTATTGTGGACACTTTCACCGAGAGATTTCCGTGCCGCCCTTGCTACTGAAGACTGACCCTCTCTTTCAAAAAGCCACATCATTGCTGTCCTTTCTAATGGACTCTTTGGTAATCATTTCAATGGGCTAATGAAATCCTCATTTCATTGTTTCAGTCGCCTATTGTTTCATTGGGAAATGAATGAAATGTTATCTTTGTTATTTATGTTCATGTTCAGGTGATTAAAAGCACAATTCAAAAGTATAAAGACACATAACACTCAATATGATCTAGATTTTCACAAATAAGCTTAGTGATATCATAATATATGTAATATATTTTAATTTAATTAACAATAAACATTATTTTCCACTGACTGCCTAAACCGCAAGAGGCTGAGATTCTGTATTCTGTGCCTGGTGTGTGTGTTCAGAGGGGAGTCAGAATGATGTTCTGTGTGTCTGTGAGTGGGAGGGCCGGCTGAGATGAGGTGGGTGGGGCCTCTTAATAGAAATAGGACAGCTTTTACTATAATGAGAGTTTATATCTTGTGTGTTTTTGGTAGATAGAAAGCCTCCCTTGGTAGGGGACTGGCTCCTTCACTGTGGCTCCACAAATGAATGAGCTCGTACTGTAGCAGGGGTCTAAATAGGGTTAGTAATTTCAGAGCCCTGGGACTTTACGACTGATCACAATATTCTGGGACAGGAATAAGATCGCCCCCTAGAGGCCTGGAGAAACCTAGATACTGAAGAGCGAGAGGGAGGGAGTGAGACTCATCATATTTGCCACTTGAATGACTTTCTATATGAGAAGCCTATAGAGTAAGCTTCTTCAGAGATAAGCCTAAGCTACACCATGGTTAATGATGTTAGACTACTAAAGCACATTTTCAAGACAACCTTAGTTGGTAGAGGTGGTGTTTGATACAGGTCTGAGATGAGAATATTACATTTCTTATTGTTCATAAACACAAAATATCAATGTACCTTAAATTGAATATCTCTTCGTGTGATGAAATAGCCAACTCAAGAACATCATTTTATGTTTTTACAAAGTCACAGCAAGTATTCTGTTTATTTTCTGTAGGTGGAGAACTTTGGTGTATATTTACAAAAATGAAATGTGGGTATCATACTAAAGATCTGTAGAAGTGCACAGGAGCTAGAACTTTAAAACTGGGGCATGTTTAGGCATATTTATCAGTTTATGCGATAAATATTCCATACAAGTCATGATGTGAAGGTGCTCGAGTTGGAAAATAGTCAATCAGAACCTTGAACTACATACTGTATGAGTCACAGCAAACCAGACCTTCTGGCGAATGTCTGCCTCTTATCTACAAGCAGTGACAAAAGTCCTGATGGCTTGTTAGGGAGCAAACCAGGCAAAAATACACACAGGTTAAAAAACTGACCTGCAAATATCAAAATTGATTTGGACTGATTGTAAAATATTGTTTTTACATTGTGTCTCCAACCCCTGTTAGTCCGACAAATACACATATTATCCTCCCAGCAATAAATAAAAACACTTTCAGTTCATGGGCTTTGATTCTAAGGTGTTTCAAGTGTTAAATTCCCACATTTTCTTAGAGATACCAATGCTACCTTTGAAGAACCTCCAGGCCAGACACCATTTTAAAATACAATTTGCAGCTAAAACCATTTTACCTTTGTGTTGAGATTGTTCACCTAGTGGCAGTGCACAAGCAATTTTGGAACACTCCTTGTGGTGCTTTACTCTGCTTGAACTGGTACTTTAAAGAACACTGCTGTTGGGTTTGTTGTTCATAAATCCTATGAATTATCCAGCTAATTTACAGCTGTATAGCTTTTGTTTATCTGTTTCTCTTTCTCTTACAAAACACGCATTGATGTCCTACTGACTTCTGATACTCACACTGTTCCTTTATTTGTGTTTCTTTAGAAACTGACCAGGGAGGCCGAGCAGCTTCAGAAGGATCACGAATGGCAAGATGGTGTGACGGTAAAGTAGGACAACTGCTCCTCTCCCTCCTTCTCGGAGACCAATTTATTTTTCTCCCTTTCCTTTCCAGGCAAACTGGTTTTTACTTCCTTTCATCTGTTTTTCAATTTCCTCTCAATTGAGCTATTTCCTTCTATTTGCACTTGTTGATATTTTATGACAATGTAAACAGCATCACAGAGACAATGTGGTTATAAAACCTGCATTTAAACAAGAGTGAAAAACAATAACACACCAAAACACAGTCCTACATTTATACGCACACTATGTTTACTTTTAGGGTTGTCTTCAGTATTATCTTAGAGACTCTCTGTTTAGTTTTACAGGCTACGGCAAGTTGAACATGGCATTCTCTTGCTGCTGACCTTTAAAACACAAGAGAGCTGCTCTTGAATAAAAAAAAAAGAGAAGTAGTATCACTGTGTGTTTGAGCCTGCGTGCTCCACTGACTCTCACATTTGCAAACACTCAAATGCCCCACGAACATGCATGCATACTGATGCACATGCACACATACACACTTATTGATAGCCTCACCTGACAGATACACATGCACAGTCCCTAGTGTCATATCCTCTGTCTCCAGGGAGACGAGCTCGCTGTCATGGTACAATTCCCACAAATGGATTTTTAACACTGCGCCTCCTGGGGGATATTTGAGAAAAGGCTTTAACTGATTTAAAACGAATGATTATGAGCCCTACTTCCCTGCAAAGTCCATTTTTATTCATGGTTGCTTACACTCTAGAGCTGTAGTCTTGGGGTGGCTGGGCGGCGCCCCCTCCTTCCCTCGCTGATGGTCTGAGGGATGGAGCTGCAGTGCGGCTGTCCCTTCATCTTAGGCCTGAGGAGGGGTGACACCTGCCTCTCCCTGACCGGCTCAGATGAACCTCGATCGGATGTGTAGCCGTGCAGGAAGTGGAGCGGGGGTCACAGTGACCACACACAGCACACCTGTTCATAAGCAGCTGCATCCAATATGGCATCAATACCGCCTCAAGTGGAAAAACCAGCGCTTTAATCCAACCACCACATCAAAACTCCTGTCTGCCTCTGTTTTTCTTTTCTAGTTCCTTTCTCTCTTCCTGTCTCATACCCTCCATTATCCTCTGCAACCCCCATCTTATTCATATACCTCTACTGTTATCTGTATGCGTTTTTAATCAGGCATGAAAACAGTTGGAATATATCATATTGTGGCAAATACTGCAAAATAATTCTAATGGTGCGCCTCCATTAATAATGTGTTGGAGCTGATTTCATTTGCCTTTATAATTAGGCCAGGTAATGAATCTCAGCAGGGGCAACTGTGAAAGCATTACAAAAAAATCCAAAAAAAGAGGTGGAGGGGGGAGTGGGAGTGGGAGAGGAAGATATGCCTTATACTTGCAGTGATATTTCTCCTGTTTGTAGATTTTGTGCTTTCCTAATTTCTCTTTTAGGTGAACACTCTGCTGACTGACACTCTAATTAGATTAGGGCTGCATGCTCTTTGGGCATATTAGGAGAAATGTGTTGCATTTTAAACTAGCGGGTGGAGCAGTCTGTCAAATGAAGAGAAAAGGTGTTTATGCATGAGCGACAGAGCGTTTTGATAGCTGTGTGTGTGTGTGTGTGTGTGTGTGTGTGTGTGTGTGTGTGGGAAAAGCGTAATTTGGTTTATTTGCATGTGTTTATTAATGCCAGGTTCTGTACCTGGCCCAGCCCATCTGCTCGCCTCGCGCCAAAACGATGACATCATACTGTAGAAACTCAATGATATGCCTGTTCCTCATAGCGTCTGCCATCCCAGCTGTTACCGTAGCAATGAGACGACCTCACTCTTCTTCTCTCACTCTCTCACACACTCACACACACATTTAAGCTTTTTTTGGTCTAACTACAGAGCCGGTTTTTGACCATCCCGACCGCTGGACATTATGGATGTCAAAATGTTGATCGTAACAACTGTTGTGATGGTCGTTCAGGGTTTTAAATCCATTGGAAGGAAATGGTGTGTGAAATAGACATTAAAGTGTTGGATTGCCGCTGGTTTCTCAAGGTCAAGTGCCCATCCCTCTGTGGCACTCTGTGACTATTGTGTTGGCAACAAAGTCATCCCAAGGTGACACAGTCACTTCAGCTATGCTCTGCAATTCTCATTGGGAGGGAACAAACACAGCAATACAAACACATTAACGTATTGAGCTGGTCAAAACAACACAAATAATAAACAAATCAATTTGTTGGTTTTCAGCTGAAAATTGGATTAAATGATTGTGTTGATGTCCATCTGAAGATTGAATGCACTCATGCATGATCTCTTAAACTCTAGGTCTTATTAAGGAGCAATGCATATTTGTGGATAGTAGGCAGATGCCAGAATGTGGCAATTATTGTAAAGGTTATACACATTTAATTGAGTTTTATTTGACCATAGCACATGAATAAAAACAATTGTATTCACCCAAGGCCTTAAAGACTGATAACCTATTAACTTGGACAGTAGGCCTGCTGAAATAGTTCAGAGTCAAGACTTGAAACAGTACGTGTAATACAAATGATAAAACTGGTCTTGCAAATATTTTACTTCCCTCGTTGAATAAAACCTACAAACCAACTACGTGGCCACACATAGGCTGAGTACTGCAGTTAAAGTTTTGTTAATGTTTGGCAATCAAATTCTCACATAAGTTTGTAGATATCACTTTTGTTTAAGTATATTAATCATTAATGTTGGTGCACAATGATGACGAGGCTTACTAAATACACCCGGTTTAGAGGAAGAGACAGTGTGGGAAAAATACACTTAGGCCTCTGCACCATACAGACACCAGTGAGTATGCTGGAACCAACTTATGGTTATGAGCATTTCATATATGATGGGACATTTGCATTTTGACCAGCTGAAATGGAATTTGATTTATCTTCAATAAATGCCTTTAAAAGTCATGTAGGCATTGTTGCTATCTTCAAAAGGAATGAATTCAGCTATTATAAGATAACACGGCTTCTTTACATCTGGTCATTAATTCATTCGGACCAGCAAAGATATGTTAAGAGATATCTTGTCCCGACTGATCACGTTTTGATAGTGACTCCATTATGCATTTGTATATATCTTGATTGACTTTTTAGTTTTTCAAATGAGACGTATTTCAATTTTCTGTGCAAACATAGGAAAAGTAGCACAAACGATGTGCTAGTAATTAGATAATTATACAGTTTTCAACAATTATATTAGTCATCGCAGGTTCAGTATAAACATGTCATACGTTTCATCTCACCCTTCAACACACTATTCTTCCAAACTAAACTGGGGAGGTAAACACATGGTGTCTTTTTGAGTTAAAAGTTTCAAACTGAAGTTATAGTCAAACCAAGGTGGTTCCCAACCACCTTGGGGGGGGCGCCAGGCCTCAGATGATTTGAGGCCAAATATCATATTTAGACTTTTATTTTTTTTTTAGATATAATTGTAACGCAATACATGATTGTCACTAAAAGCCTTGTCTCTATATTACAATAAAATATAAAAAATAATTGATTAATTTGAATAAAAATTCAAGTTAGTAGCTATTATTAGCATAAAAAGACAGAAATGTATAATTCTTTCTTTAATAGAAATGTTTCTTCTGCCCGTAAAGGGTCCAAACCGGGCTTTTCTGGATAAGCGTATTTTTAAAACATAGTCATTGTCCATGCCGGTTTCAGTTGGATTATTTGTCACAGTTGCTCCGATCAGATCGGTCTCCTCCATTTTGTAGNTGTATGACGTCCTTTTTGTTTTCTGTTGTTTTTCTGTTTTTCATGTGTAACCAACGTGCTGCAGGTCTCCCTTGAAAAAGAGATCGTTGATCTCAATAGGCGCTTTCACACCGGAGTACTTTTCCCAGTATAGTTCCGATAGTTGCGTTCACTTCACACCAAAAGAAATCAGGAACTAGAACTTACTTCATGATAACCTTTTCACCCCCTTTGTAGTCCCTGCTAGAGAGCAGGTACTTTCCTGGGAGAAAAAGGTTCCCATNAAAAGTCTAAAAAATGCTACAACTACAGTCACAAACTGGATGAATGTGAAGTACTCCAATAGTGCTCCTTAATTATGCTTTCATCCTCCTTTAACAAAATACTTCACATTCATCCAGTTTGTGACTGTAGTTGTAGCATTTTTTAGACTTTTAAACTGTAATTACTGCTGTGCCCCCCCCCTTGTGTGTGTGTGGGGGGGGGGCGCAACTTCCAACAGGAGTCATTTGGGGGGGCTCTTGGGAAAAAAGGTTGGGAACCCCTGAACCAGACGATGCAGCTCATTATAAAATAACATAAAACTGTCTGTGATCAGCCTTATTTTCAAACTAACTAACAGACATATAGATCCACTCATCTCTCATCGTATACCGTCTACAGATGATGAACATTTTTGCTTAGCTGATGGAGGGTTGACACGAGGTGCAACACGTTGGAACAGAGACACGAGATTGGATGAAAGAAAGGACAGAGATTGTGGAGATTGGAGGAAGACATGTACTTTCCATCAGATTGTGATGTGGCAGCTGCTGTACGTTTGAAATGCATTAGTGCTAATAGCGGTGCCATTAGGGGAGAGAGAGGCACTCTGTTGATGGGTTGCCATGATGAAACCAGGAAGAGGGGGTGACAAAGAGAGGCAGAGAGAGGTGTAAGTGAGAAAGCAAGCAAGTGAGGGAAGAAGGTATAAGAGACGCAGAAAACGGGAAACAGAGATGGAGCCATCTTCCAGGCCATTTACTGCAATCATCACTCTCTAATCAATCAAGCCTTTCATCATAGGACAACACAGTCTCTCCTTTTCTTTCTCTTCACCCTCTGCCTCGCTCTCTCTCTCTTCATCACCACCACTCAGCCACCCACTCTCATACATAACACAATGATATTCATGTGACCTCTTTCTTGCTCTTCACACATGTATGTTCATTGGTACCTTTGTAATGCATACAAATAATATTCATAAATAGCCTACAGTGTTCCCCTTACCGATG